ATTCAATATTGATTTGCCGTCCTACTTGGAATTCGTAACGCTCAATTGAGTTTCGAATCGACCAAGAAGAATGCAAGAGCCCGTGTTTGCCATAAGCATGGTGAAATGCATTTTCAACGGTCGTTTTATCGGAAATGAGTGATGCAATACATCGCTACGATTACATACCATTTTTTACTTCTTTCATTCAGTCAACAACCAACTAAAATTGTCCTTTGCGCCCCCCTCTCTCTTTTCATTACGCATTCCTTCGTGTGTCGTTTTTTCTTTCATCATTTTTCAAAGCACCGACAACCACAAATTCCCAGGAAAGGACATACAAATATATAAAAAGAGAACATTCCAATTGGTTAAAATATCCGTTCCAGTTAGTTTACGACCGTTTCCACTCATAAAATATCGCATTATTATTGTTTGCAACTTTGTTTTCCATTCGTGCAGGTAAATTTTGATTATCGATAAATACAATGTGACGAAAATCACTTTCAATCTTTTCAACTATTGCATCATCGACTTTTTTTTCCCTTCCAATTGATACATTCTTGGCGTGAAGCGTGTACGATCGTCGATACGGTTATACGTCTTACAGTAGTATGAAGCAGGGGGCTACACTCACTTGCAAAAAGTTGAGAATATTGTAAATATTCACGCAGTGTGAATTCATTGTGACTTTCATACGAACTATACTGTGGATATGCTGTGCACACAGGGAAGAAAGTTTCAGATATTCGCTACGCTCAATTTTTTGAACCTCCATAATATAGGTAAAATAGAGGCGTAAAAAAAAATTTTTGTCTGAGAAATATGAATTTTGGTTTTTTTTTTCAGGAAAAAAAATTGGGCGTAGCGAATATCTGAACTTTTCTTCCCTGTGTGTGACTATCCTGAATCATTGCGAATTTGGTTTGAATTCGGATGATTGAATGAACATATGCTTGAATATTGACGATATTCTGAATAAATGTTTCCCCATGATTGATTTAATTATAATCAAGCTCGGATTATGATAAATTATCAATCATTGATAATTGTGTTTCAATCTACGCGTCTTCGATTCGGATAGACAAACGGAACTTTGTATTGGATGGAACACGGCATTATCAATTCTATATTACAATACGTGTATGATGCAACAAACAGTTGGCATTCCGAAATTCTATTTCGATACATTCAATAGGAAATAACGGAATTTGTTGATTTTTTCTTCCACGAACCGTTTGGCTTTTTGTTTCGTGCATCTATTTAAAGAAATTGAAATAGTGAGACATTGGCGATGAATGCACAAAAGAAATAGCTTATTGCTCTTAAAGCTGATCAAATTCACATTTTTTTTTTGGACTAACAAAGCAAATTTCATTTTGGAATTGGCTATTTTTCGATTGTATAACATTTTAAGTTGGAAATTTCGAACAGTTTAAAAATACGTGTGAAATCGATTATGATGGAAAAAAAAATTACACATTTTAACGAAATATTGAAAGAAAATTGTATCACTCGAGATCACATAGGTTACAATTCATATAGCAATAGCCATTGTGGCGGGCACTTGTTGGATGTGAATGCTTTATTTTCATGATGCAACAACGTTAGCCTGCATGCATATGCACAAGTGATTGATGAAAAAATTATACACTCAGTGAAACTGAACAAAAAAAACGTAAATCAAAGAAATACGTTTCATTATTATCACGAATATGCGTTCAATGCGCAATTTCATTTCAATTGAAGTATTTGATTGGATTCATTTTGAAGCATATCTTTTGATTGCGTCGTTGCAGACGATTTTTATTTTCTTCGTCTCTCGAACGGAAACTGAACAGTGGCTATATTATATGAAACTGGGTTATTCATTCATAATTATTTCCATAGGTTGAATAACAAGTGCGATGAAAATTTCTTCATTGTTTACCTTTTTTTCTAACAATTTGGTTATATTCAATCGACAATTGTCAGTAATTATAATTAGTCAATATTTTCTGTCGTGTTTTTGTTAAGTGTTAAGTAATGATTGGCTTATTTGATGAATAGTAAAATTCTGGAGAATCTTTTGAGAGAGAGAGAGAGAGAGAGAGAGAGAGAGAGAGAGAGAGAGAGAGA